AACAAACATCAACTTTTAGTTAATTACACAAATTTAATTATATCGAAAACACTGAAATTAGACATTATTCCCTGTGGGATGATAACTCTTTCATTACAATTATTACTTGTACAACGAATTCGTACGCTTGCGGGATTTAGATGAACGAGTTTTTAGCGCCATTGTCGGGGAGTAACGGTGTTAATTTTAGTTATTGGATATTTTAAATTCATTTATTTTTATTTTTATTTGTATTTCATTTTTAGTTGTTGCTTTTAGGCTACCATTACACAACTTAATTCTCTTGTGTCTTGACACTTTTTAGGCGACTTTAGCTTATGCAAAATCCTGAGGAGCCAGATCTCTTTCCAATAGATCACGAAATAGAAAGAACAATTAGAAATTGTAGAAGAGTTCAACGTCAAGAAGGAGAATGGCCGATAACTAAAATCAACCACAGCATCAAGTTCAACTTCACGAGCAAATACCGCAGCCAAATCAACCGAGAACTATCCAGGACAAAGCCCCTATCTTAGTTGGAGATTATGTTAATCCAATTCCAGTACCAGTGCAACCAGCTGTAGTATATCCTCCCTTTGGACAACCTAATTTCCACCTTAGACTAGATGTCATCAATTTGTTCCAAAATCACCAAGACATCAAGTTTTTTGGAAAAGCCACAGAGAATCCTCATGAACATATTTCGGCTTTTCTTATGCTATGTGAGGTAATTAGTCACGAAGGAATATCAACAGATGTATTTCAAATGAGATTATTCCCTCATACTTTGAAGGACACTGCAAGGGAATGGTTTTTTTGTTTACCACATAGGACCATTCAATCTTGGAACAATATGGTTCAAAAATTCACGATGAAATTTTTTCCACCTTCTTGAATTCATCAAGTTAGGAATGAAGTCCACACTTTCAAGCAGAAAGATCTCGAGAGCTATCCGGAGGCATGGGAGAGATTCAAGAATTTTTTCAAGAAATTCCCCAGCCTTAACATCCCTAAAAAGGCTCAGCAATATCTATCCTACTATGGTCTAAAGCAAGAATTCAGAAATATGATAGATGCTTTTGCAGGAGGATCGGTGATGAAACTTGATGTGGATGAGGCATATGACTTGTATGAAAGAGTAGCTGAGAATCAATTGATGTGGCCAACCGATAGGGAAGCTCCAAAAAAGACAGCAGGGTTGCATAATGTAGATGCAGTAACAGCACTGGCTGCACAAATGGAAGTTCTTACAATGAAAATGGATAATCTATCTCAGTCAGTTAATATGGTACACCAATCTCCACCAATTTGTGAAGGTCGCGAAGCTGATCATAATACCACGCACTGCCCTCTGGCATCTACACATATTAACCAGTTTGAAGAAGTGAGCTATGCGCAGAACTTCCAGAGACAGCAAAATAGTCCCTTCTCCAACACATTTAATCCGGATTGGAGGAATCATCCAACCTTTTCATGGTCTAGCAATCAGGGACAAGGACAAGGAGGTAACAATCAGAATAAACCACCGGGGTTCCAACAGGAGCAACAACAGCAAAGAAAGAAACCGTCTTTAGAAGATTTGCTGGCTCAGTACATTACTAAAGCTGAGACCAACTTTCAAAATCAACAGGCCTCAATAAAAAACTTGGAACAACAAGTGGGACAGATTGCAGCCGCACTATCAGGTAGAGCTCAAGGGACGTTACCTAGTAACACCGAGACAAACCCTAAGGAGCAGGTCAAAGCCATAACTACACGGAGTGGAGTCCAGTTACCAGAAATACATGTAAAGCGGCCAGCAACTATCACAGAAAAGACACCTACAACGGGTGAGGAGCAAGTTGATGAATTAGACAAAACAATAGAGGAAAATCAAATCGAGTCATTGGGCAATCCACGAGTTAAGACAAGCACTCCTGTCAAAGCATATGTGCCTCCAATCCCATTTCCACAAAGACTGCAAAAACACAAGCTAGATAAGCAGTTTCAGAAATTTTTGGAAGTATTTAAGAAGCTGCACATTAACATACTGTTTGCTGAAGCCCTAGCTCAAATGCTTAGCTATGCCAAGTTTATGAAAGACATCTTATCAAACAAGAGGAAGCTAGAAGACAATGAAATAGTCATGCTTATTGAGGAGCGCAGCGCAATTCTTCAACACAAATTACCATCGAGACTAAAAGACACAGGGAGTTTTACTATTCCTTGTAATATTGGTAATTTGTATATAGATAAGGCACTGTATGATATAGGAGCTAGCATTAATTTAATGCCCTTATCTCTTTTCAGGAAACTAGGTTTGGGGGAAGCAAAAGCGACTACAATTTCACTGCAGTTAGTCGATAGGTCGATCAAGCACCCGCGAGGTATTTGTGAAGATATTTTGGTCAAGGTCGATAAGTTTATCTTCCCAGTGGACTTCATTATTCTGGATATGGAAGAAGATCGAGACGTCCCCCTCATATTGGGTCATCCATTTTTGACTACGGGAAGGGCTCTGATAGATGTACAAAAATGTCAGTTGATATTGAGGTTAGATGAAGAGGAACTGACAATCAACGTGTTTAGAGCCTTCAGATTTCAGAATAACCAGATTATTGCATGCAGATTGACATAATAAAGGAAGAAGTGTTTGAGACATTCAAACTTGATCACCCTCAAGATCCACTTGAGGCTTAGTTGGTGCATTCTCAGGAATTTTCATCGAAAAAAGAGGAAGCAGAAAAATGTGCACGTTATTTAGCAGTCATACCACCACTTTTCAAGCAGCCATGTTTGGAGCTCGGTGAAAGACCCATAAAACCTTTACCATCTATACAGCAAGCTCCAAATCTTGAACTCAAACAACTACCATTCATCTGCGCTATGCGTATTTGGGAGAAAAGAATTCGCTCCCAGTAATTATCTCAAACAATCTTACAGAATCAGAGGAAGATCAGCTGCTAAGAGTACTTCGAGAGCACAAGACAGCATTAGGATGGACGATATCAGACATAAAAGGAATCAGCCCTTCGCTTTGCATGCACAAGATATTGATGGAAGATGATTACAAAGCTTCAATTGAGTATTAACGCAGATTAAACCCAAATATGCAAGAAGTGGTAAGAGAAGAAGTATTAAAGCTTTTGGATGCAGGAATAATCTATCCCATATCAGACAGCCATTAGGTCAGTCTAGTACAAGTAGTGTCGAAAAAGGGAGGAATCATGGTAGTCCCAAATGAGAATAATGAGCTCATCCCTACACGGACAATCACAAATTAGAGAGTCTGTATTGATTATCGCAAACTCAATAACGCCACTAGGAAGGATCACTTTCCCCTCCCTTTCATTGACCAGATGTTGGAGAGACTCGCTGGACATGCCTACTATTGTTTCTTGGATGGTTATTCGGGGTACAACCAGATTCTGATAGCGCCTGATGATCAAGAGAAGACAACTTTTACATGCCCTTATGACACTTTAGCTTATAGGAGGATGACCTTCGGTCTTTGCAATGCTCCAGCCACCTTTCAGCACCGTATGATGTCTATTTTCTCAGACATGGTGGGACATATTATTGAGGTGTTTATGAATGATTTCTCAGTGTTTGGAAAATCATTTAAGGGGGGCCTTGAACACTTGGGAAAAGTGCTGCAACGATGTGAAGACACAAACCTTGTATTAAATTGGGAAAAAATGCCATTTCATGGTTCAGGAAAGGATTGTGTTAGGGCATTTGATTTCAGCACGGGGTATTGAGGTTGATAGAGCTAAAATACAAGTCATCGAAAAACTACCACCGTCGATAACAGTTAAGGGAGTTAGAAATTTCTTGGGTCACGCTGGGTTCTACCATCGCTTCATCAAAGATTTTTCCAAAATCTCGAAGTTATTATGCAATCTACTGGAAAAAGGGGCCCCATTTCACTTTTCTGAGGAGTGCTTGATAGCTTTCAATGTCTTAAAAGAAAAATTGGTTTCTGCTCCAGTATTGGCTTCTCTAGATTGGAATTATCCGTTCTAACGTATGTGTGATGCACTGATCATGCAGTGGGGGCAGTGTTGGGTCAATGAAAGGAGAAGAGTTCCCATGTTATTCACTATGCCAGTAAAACTTTGGATCAGGCTCAAATGAATTATGCGACTACAGAGAAAGAGCTTTTGGCAGTAGTGTTCGCCGTGGACAAATTTAGATCAACTTGATTGGGTCAAAAGTAATTGTTTATACGGATCATTCAGCCTTAAAATATCTACTAAGCAAGAAGGATGCAAAGCCGAGGCTTATTCGATGGATACTCCTATTGCAAGAGTTTGATTTGGAGATCAGAGATAAAAAGAGAAGTGAGAATGTTGTGGTAGATCACCTTTCTCGCCTTGAATCGCATGAGTCAAACCCTATAGTGGAGATCAATGAAGTTTTTCCTGATGAAATACTTTTTCGGATTATCACTATACCATGGTACACCGATTATGTCAATTATTTAGCCCAACCCATCATCCCACCAGACTACGCGAGTCACCAAAGGAAGAAATTCTTCAGTGACCTAAAACACTACTTTTGGGATGATCCAATTCTTTATAGAAAGGGTCCAGATCAAATCATACATCGTTGTGTGCCAGAGGTAGAGCAGCATCAAGTATTAGAGTCATGTCACTCTGCACCGTATGGGGGCCACTTCTCAGCAACCAAGACAGTAGCAAAGGTACAACAATCGGGTTTCTATTGGCCTACGTTGTTCAAGGACGCACATTTTATGGTGAAACATTGTGACAACTGTCAAAGGACTGGAAATATCTCGAGGAAGAACGAGATGCCTTTAAAAAACATTTTGAAAGTTGAAATTTTCGACGTTTGGGGCATTAAATTCATGGGACCATTCCCTCCCTTCAACGGTCAACAATATATACTAGTGGCAGTGGACTACGTGTCTAAGTAGGTTGAAACTATAGCTTTGCCAACTAACGACGGGCGAGTGGTAACTCAGTTCATGAAGAAGAACATTTTCACTCGATACGGCATTCTGAGGGTAATTATTAATGATGGTGGAAAGCATTTCTGTAATCGATTATTTACATCGCTGTTGGCTAAATATGGAGTAGAACACCTTTTCTCGACTCCGTACCATCCTTAGACTAGTGCGCAAGTGGAAATCTCCAACAGGGAGTTAAAGAAGATTCTCGAAGCTACAATCAATGCGTCCTGTAAGGATTGGGCTAAGAAGCTAGACGATGCACTTTGGGCTTATAGAACAACATTTAAGACTCCAATTGGCATGCCTCCATATCGACTGGTGTTTGGAAAGGCCTGTCATCTGCCCGTTGAGTTAGAGCATAAGGCATATTGGGCAACTCATTTGCTCAATTTCAATATGAAGGTAGCATGAGAAAAGAGAGTTCTACAACTCTATGAGCTAGAGGAATTTTGTTTGGATTCATATGAGAATGCAAAGATTTAAAAGGAGAAAACCAAGAGATGGCACGACAGACATATAAAAGAGAAGGATTTTGAAGTTGGCCAGCAAGTATTAATGTTCAATTCACATCTCAAACTCTTTCCTGGAAAGTTAAAGTCTAGATGGTCAGGTCCTTTCATAGTAGTAGCCGTGCTCCCACATGGTGCTGTAGAAGTAGTATCTCAGGATGAACAGAGGAGGTTTAGAGTGAATGGACAATGGTTGAAAGCCTATTGGGGAGGTGACTACTCCAATGAGAAGACGACCGTACCTCTTAATAGTGCAGAGTAGCCTGAGCAACAAAGTTGAGCTATAGACTATAAAAATAACGCTTATTGGGAGGCAACCCAATTCTCTGCCCTTTTATTTATTCCACTTTGTTACATTAGATTAGGATTTTTATATGTTCTCTTTATTGCTTGGGTGTGTTAGATAGATTAGGTGTCATCCATTCATTACTCAGTTGTTAAGTCAATGTACAGGTCACGCAATTTCATATTTGTTTTACACAAGTTTAGGGGAGTTCAATCATTATATACATGCAATTGGAGGGCATCACGAATATCTAGATAAAAATGAGATATTACGATCATCGAGGCTGAAACGTGTAATTTTGGGTACAAGAATGACTTATAATCTATTGAATCCCACATCATTTGCACATTTTTCAATCATAGTGGTAAATGTATTAGGTTGGGAGTGGAACATGAGTGGTCGGGTTTGGTTTAAACCAAAACTAACATTCGGGATTGGCGTTGAACTTCTATGTCATAGTCATTTTGCATAGTCCTAAAATGTGTTATGTAAAGAATTCAATCGGGGATAGGTGCGGAGAGTCAGTTAAAAAAATTAAAATTAAAATTAATTTTGGGCTAACCATGCGTACGCACCGGCCTGCAGGCCGGCGTACGCACAATTATGCAGATTGGCCGCCCGAGGCCAATCTGCTTGGGATGTGCGTACGCACGGACCAAGCCATGCGTATGCAAACCCTTACCCACACACACAATTCCTACATATTTCACCCTTTCACATACACACGAGCACACCTATATTTCTCCATGAACCGGCGCATTTCCCCCCAGATTTCTTCATCCCTTCACTTGGGAATTACAACTAGGTCACATTAGAGTACCTTGTACATCAACATCATCCACTCAAACACCCTCAATTGCCAAGAACTCAAAGGTAATAAACTTCACTTTGAAAACTCTCGGGTTGCAAATTTTTTTCAATTTTTGTGCAATTTGATGGACTTTATGGATTATTGTGGAGGTTGGGCTTAGGTAGATGGTGGATTTTGTTTAATTTGATGTAAAAATTGGTAGATTCATCACAAAAATAGGCATATGGACATTCTTGCTACAACATTTCCCATAAGGTGTTTGTTTAATTGTCCCAAAGATTCATTTGTCTACATTTTAGCTTTATTTTTGCACAACACTTGGGCTTTCCACAATTTAATGACACCTTATACTTGCTTACATCTACTTTATTGTATAACTTGAAATTGAAGGGAAACAACACATTGTATTTACCATCCCTTCCATCGCACTACTTGTGTTCTTCCCCCACACATAGCACTACACTTTGCTCTTCATTTGGTACTCTTGGTATTCTGTTAATAACAATTATCCCATTCATCTATTTCATGTTGCTTAATTTGTGCCTTTTGTAGGAATCCCTCCCAAATGCACACGCGACGCTCCATCCACTTCAAAAGAGAAAGGCAAAGCCTCTTCTTCGTCCAACCTGGGCCGCTCTCGAGTTGATGAATGTGGCCTGCGAAGATTCTTAAGCTCAGAGCATAAGTTTCGATTTGAGCAAGTAGTCGCCAAATGGACTGTTTTACCCGAGCTGAAAGTGGTATTGGAAGATTTCCCAGGGTTTGAAATTGAGACATTAATTCACTGTGCGGGCTGGGAAAAGGTGATGGCTAAACCATTTGCTATTTATCCTATACTTGTTCAAGAGTTCTACACAAATTTCAACTTCTCCATCAATGAGCCTTGGACCGATCACCAGCACCGAACCTGGGTGCGGGATAAATGGTTTATGTTTACACCTGAGGTCATTGATGAATATCTTGAATTGAATCGAGCAGGAATCATCCTGATACCACCAGAGTAGAATTGGTCAGAGTTAGCACAAGTTTTATATGGAAGAGCAGATGCCTAGCCGCTCCGTCGACCAAATTTCTTAGACAGTAATTTAACTGAGTCCCTTATAGTTCTGATAATGTTTGTTTGCCACAATGTTGATCCCTCCAAGCATTGTTACAAGTTCGATCACACTAAAGTTGCTTTGCTCTACCATATAGCTAGAGGGCTCAAATTTGACTTGGGCACTCACATCTATAATTTGATTTGTGCCCGCGCTGCCGAAGAAGACCTACGACACACACTCATATTTCCAAGCCTTATATGTGGAATATACAGGGCTTATGGAGTGTAGCTCCTACCAGCTGAGTAGGCAATACGTCCTGCTGCCCCAATCAGCATTCTCTCCACCCAAAACTCTTGGAGAAAAGTCAATCAATACAAACAAGGACGACAAGATAACCAGGACAAGACAGGCTATGGGGTTGACGTTGACATCCACCTAGCCTCGCAACATGAGCCACCAGTTGACCCCCCGTACTGCGACATATGTTTGCGATGATGATCGGGCTGAGTAGGGATGTTCAACAGCTGTAGCAATGATTTATAGCCTTGGATTTACTGGTACAAGATATGCAAACTAACATTGGGATTGTACGAGCCAGCGCGAGTAGGACTCAAGAAGATGTCTCTGATTTACGTCAATGTATTGATAGGCTACTTGGAAAAATGGACCGTTATACTGGAATGATGGATGGCATGCAATTTCGGGCTGATCAGACGTATGACATGGTCCGTAATATGCAAATCAAGATGGGCCAGCAATCTGCTTTGATGAGGGAGATTCTTTCCCGTCTACCTCCACCACCACCTTCCAATTAATTAGGGGAGTCTCGGTTCCTTTCATGCCCTCCTTTTTGTATTTTATTCCCTCTTGTGGTACATTAAGGACAATGCACCTGTTAAGTTTGGGGGTGATCTAATATTTTATCTTCATGTTTACTTCTTTTCGCATGATTGGTGTGTTTTATACAAAAAAAAAATGTTTTTACCTTTCGTGTGTTGTTTTTAACTTTTGTGTGCTTGTGTGGGTTGGATGACCTTGCTGGCAATGATGCATCTATTGGAATTGTGTAATTAACTAAGAACCTTGGATGAATTATATGTTGAGTTAGTTGACACTTGTTGATGTGAAACTTGATCTCTATTGAGCACGATATTCATGTTCTGCATTATGAGTTGATGACTTGGTTTATATAAGGAGAAAGTTGAACGTAGTTGATTCAAACCCGAACCAACATAAATAAATAAGACCATAAAACCTCTTTTAGGAGAATTTGGAAATGATCAAACTAGTATAAAGAAACATTGAGATAAGTAAGGATTCCATGTGTGAAATGATTGTGAGGATTATCTAAAGCCAATAAGATGAATTGAGACGAAAACCTCGAGTTAGGGGTTCGGTTTCGAGAATATGTGTTTAATAAGGGGCATTGCACTAATCTTGACAATTAAAAGAAGTAAAAAGAACTTCTCTTCGGATTATTTTTGACTCGAGCAATTAATCCTGCAAGGGTCTTTAAAACCTGGTGCCCTATGGTCATCTGACTTGACAGTCATTGACTGAAAACTCGCTACAGGAGTCACTTAGTCGCTTAATGGAGAGAAGCAGGTGCATGAAATGGAAGATGCACCAAGTGCCAAGATTAAGCCTCGAACAACTATTTTAGGGACTTGTACCTTTGACAATGGGTTATTAGCTCAATTGAGTCTTAGAAGCCGAAGTAATCAAAAATATGGGAAAATCCTTATTAGTTGATATGAGAATCTATATTAGCTAAGATCTATCCAAATGAGAGAGGGTAAGGATCAGAATTAGCTAAAAGTCAACCTTAGTGCATACCTCGGGAAAAGTGAGGAAAAAGCATATGTTTGGGGATGTGTATCTTACTAGTGAGAAAAGGAAATAATTGACTACTGCAAGTTGGGAATTAAACCAATTATTAGTATTGTGATGTTTACATGAATATTCACACACACACACTTTAAGTTTCACATTGAATAAGGGGAGATTCATTTCAAATGTGTAATTTGGACACTTTTCAAAGTAATGACACAATTATCCAATCCTTTGATTGACAGCATACCATCTAACCAAAGTTTAATTGGATTGGACTATAAATTGTTTGAGGACAAACAAATGTTCAAATTTGGGGATGTTTGATAAGTGTATTTTATACACTTATTTAGGCCATTAAAATTGAGTATTTGTTGATGAATTTGATAAAATATGGTTTAATCCTATGTATATATTGTATGTAGATTACAATCAATGGAAGATACGAGAATAAAGAAAATAAGCGGGAAAAAACGATTCAATTACATCAAGGGCAAAGTTTGGGGACTAGGATGCAATAATCTAAAATTTGAATTGGAACAGAGAATGATGAGTTGAGAACACCAAGAGTCAATTGGAGTTGAAGAAAAGCTAAGGGGATAAGAAATTTTGGGAAAGGACCAAAACACACACTTCAGAAAGTTTAGGGATCAAATTGCAAATTGGCCAGTAAAATAATTTAACTGTGCTTACGCATAGGCTTTCAGGTCTTGCGTACGCACGATTGGAAAATTTAACTTCCGAAACTCGATTGAGGTTACTATACGTACGCACCAAATGAACCATGCGTACGCATGGTTCAATTCCGACAAAAAAAAATTTGTTTCTTTATTTTGTTTTGGAGAGTCTTGGTTTACAATTCTTTACACGATATTTGTACCAAAACTCGACAAAAATACGGGGAACCTAATTTTTATCATCTTGGAAGCCGACAAAAAGGAAAAAGAGAGCGGGATATACATTGAAGAACAAGACTTCATCACTTGGATTCGGAATTGAAGGCATAAAGTGAAGGATTTGGGTAATGTCGTTCTTTTATTTTTCCTGTTTTTCCTACATTAATATGCTAGGCTAAATATCTTTGTATTGGATGGATGATAAAACTGATTGACTCTTAGTTTTTAATTCGAGACCTTATGTTTTTATCTTAATTCTTGTGTTGTGGTTTCTTTAATATGCATATCTATATTGTTTTAATGTTTGCGCATAATTAGGACAATAAGTTGCTTATTTGTAGTGTTGGAAAATTCACGGTATGTAGAACACTGTTATTGGAATGCATGGACAATGAATGTTAGGAATAATATTTGTGACATGTGCGATCACGTGTGATAATCCTATACATCAATGCGTGTTTGCCATATGAATTCGGACTAGGAATAGGATCGTCTTGTGGTAATCATAGGTTTGTTATATCTTCGGAAATAATAATAAATAAAAGTGAAATTATCGATCGTCACAATTGCATGAGTTGAGATAATTGTCATAGGTTGAGAATTAGAACTAAGAATTGATCAGTGGCGTCGAAAATCCAATACATTCACTCATCTGAATTCTAAAACAAATTCTCATCAATTTTGCAATTTTTAGTTATGAAACTTAATTAGCTATTCAAACAAACATCAACTTTTAGTTAATCACATGAATTTAATTATATCGAATACACTGAAATTAGATCTTATTCCCTGTGGGATGATAACACAATTATTACTTGTACAACGAATCCACACGCTTATGGGATTTTGACGAACAAGCCACAGGCAGCGAGCCGAAATGCCATCCTTAACTGCGACATAACATTACTTCCATTACTCGACTTGGTCAGCGTAAGCTCTCTATATTGGCTTTTTATCCAGTCCATTATTGCACGTGAACGCCCTTCGTCATCTATAGTGAGGTTCGCCAATTGCGAAAAAGCATGATACATATCGTTGTGTCTCAACTGTGCGGGAGTAGTAACTAAGCCAACATAGTTCACTGCCACTTTTGTGAGCGCTCGACTAACATCTTTTCTCCACCTTCATAGTATATACCTCTCGGGCATTGATGTCACGTTGTTACGGATCGAGACTACGATTGCATGCTTGCATATTATCCTTTGGAACTCGAACAAGTGGCAACTACAAACAATTTCACTATTATCCCTCCGAAAAGAGACGAACCACTTTTTTTCTTCCGTATGTGTTCCATTAGCACATCCTCTAAAATTTCGTACGTGGTCCCCGAACTTCCCTCCAAAGCAGCTACGAGATCACAATATGTCTTCCCTGTGAACTCTTCTTGCACTTCCCGAAACTTTGAAATTGTGTACACCAATTGAAATTGTTTTTCCATTTCATAATTTGTTGCACATGGTACCATCTGGAAGTATGACTTGAAGTCAGCTTGGTACTCCTTCTCAACCTTGTTCCTTGGTGCTCGTTCATATTGTTCAACGAACTGCTTAAGCAAGGTCTTCGTACGTACATACCTATCAAAGAAGGCATTCATACTTTCACTTTGCTGAGTCGTAGACATACCAGCCCAAAATGTGGTTTTTAAGAAGCAAGGAACCCAACGAGCTCTGTTGTTATACAGTCCAGCCAACTAGTCATTATCATGCAATTCGTACTCATCAATCATCAATCCCCAACCTTCTTCAAATTTTGCACGAATCATATACCAATCTATGTATATCCGAAAATATGTTTTCCTTGTCAACATGGTACCCAAACTTCTCCAGCAATTTCTTCAAAATGTGACATAAACACCATCTAAGCTTAGTATCTGGGAAGACAATCTGAGTAGCATTTTGCGTGGCCCTATCTTAGTCTGTAATGATTCCATGGGATGCTTGACCATGCATACACTCAAGCCATGTTTTAAATAGCCAAACAAATGTATATGTGTCCTCGTTTGATAATAGACCACAACCGAGCAATGTAGATTGACCGTGATGGTTAACTCCAACAAAAGGAGGGAAATGCATGTTGTACTTATTAGTCAGGTAAGTGGTGTCGAAGGTGACAACATCACCGAACTCCCTACATGTTTGCCTGCATCTATTATCAGTCCCAAATACATTCTTCAGTCGCAACTTATCATCTAAATTGATATTGAAATAAAATTCGGGCATCGTGCTTGCATTTTGGAAAAGTAAGATTGTATTGCGGCTGCATCACCTTCTCCAAGTTGTAATCTTCTTACTTGCTTAATATAATTTCGACAATCCTTTTCTACACAAGGCAAATTCTCATAACCACCAGCTTCAACGACTGCAGAGTTGAAACTTTTATGCAATGGTATTCCTACTATGTCATTCACTTCAAGCTTTCTTTTCACATGTGTTGGCAATTTTCAATTGCAATGGTAAAACCTGGACTTTGAAGGGCTACATGTATGATTGTGCTCGAGGTTGACTATGTTGATTCTCCAGGTTCCATTAACATCTGAAGAAGCAGAGATCTTAGCTTTACAATCCATCTCCATCGTTGGTTGAGGCTTCAACGAACCAACGACATTAGTACTTCTTCGACCTTTACGGCTATATGTAAAAGTCACATGTCTTAAAAGTCCGTCGTCTCCTTTTTTTTTTTGAATTCCTCTTCCAAATGGGAAAACCTACATTGTAGGCATATCTTTTGTAGAACTCAAACATTACTTTTCTATCATTGAATTGTATACCCACATCTGGCACATCGAGTCCCCATCTCCTAAACCTTCTTCTTCCACTATATTCATATTTTCAACAACATTCTCATTTTCAGAGTCTACCAAAGAATTATTGACCAAGTCTTCCATAATTTACTTTCTGCGATAATATAATTGGTAACGTTAAGTCACATAAATCAAATACACTACAATAAACACATCAACATAAATTCAGTTTCTATATACATATTCACCAATTACACAATGCTACCAAGTAATAACATATTTATATTACAACAAACTTATCACAAAATTTATTCACATTTCCAATACTGAGCGAGAATATCAATAATATACTTATATGAAAATGAGGAAAATTAGACACAAAGACAGAGAATAGTGCACTCATGAATAAGTCACGGCTTGTGTGGAAAACGGGCAAATGGTAGGAGGGTTTTGGGCATTTCGAACCGTTGCCGGAAGTTTAGCTCATGTGGGATATGAGAGAGAGTTCGAGGTGGAGAAGATATTCTGGCAACGATTCGAATTTCTGGATTTCTCAATTCAACAAAATGGGTACACTGACGAACCGTTGTCACTCGTTCAGCTCAGTCGAAAGCCACCGGAGGTGGAAAAGATTTTTGCTGGTCGGATGGTAGTGGAGTAGGGAAGAGTTGCTGGATTTCAAGCTTGGAAGCAAAAGAGAACAACGAGCTCACGTTTGCTATTTTTGGGATGGGGGGGGGGGGAAAAAAGGTA